ACACTGGGTGGCTAATCCTTTAAGAGTTCACTTACACATCAGCTCCTTTGAGAAGCTTTTGACACATTATCATACCTCTCTGTTTGGCAAGCTACTTATACCTTGCAAGTGTGTGCTCTCAGGTTGTGTGGACAGGAAGGTTTATGCTGGAAGACTGTAAGACTGATTCATAGGTCACCTAGGTCATCGTGAGAAAGATCCTGATGGCTAAGATGCAAGAGGGATGAATGAAATTGTCTCATGAAAAGTGACAGTGAGCAACATTATTTTTGAAAGGGTGTTTTATATACCTTACAAATTAAAATGTTTAAAAGCTTACACATTTAAATTCATTAAGATCTTTTTTTGTGTGTTTTACAAAAAATGTATTATTTTATATCTGAGGTCATTTTATGTTTAGTAATATGTAATTCTTATTTTTAACCAGAAACTAAGGCTCCTGGAGGAGCTTGAGGACACTTGGCTTCCTTACCTGACTCCCAAAGATGATGAGTTCTATCAGCAGGTAAGATGTTTTAATATTTTTACCAATTTGTAGCCTCCATCTTTGACCGGTGAAATGGCTAGGTACACTTAGAGGCCTGGCCCACGCAGAGCACATGCCTTTCCTCCCAGTTTGCTTTCTCTTTAAACTCTCTCTAGACTCAGTGTGCCGTTTTCATTTCCCCAGCATCCATGGTCCTTTCTACCTTTGCACCTCTCTGCACATGTTGGCTTTTTATTTGTTTTGTTCTTGTTTTTATTCTGCATAGAATATATAGCCTTGTCCTCCTATCCTGACACTGGGTGGCTAATCCTTTAAGAGTTCACTTACACATCAGCTCCTCTGAGAAGCTTTTGACCCATTATCATACCTCTGTGTTTGGCAAGCTACTTATACCTTGCAAGTGTGTGCTCTACTGCCTGCCTGTCCCATTGAATAGCAGGACTGGGATACTGAATATCTGAATTCTTCAGCATTCTTCCCTTATATAAGGAAAAAAAAAAAAAAAAAGGAATGGGAAGAGGCATTTATTAGGATTATTTAGAAATCTAAAGCATGCTGCTGTACTTTCAAACATTGTCCCTGATTATTTTTATTCTGGGTTTCTTGGCTTCTATTCCTGTGTGTGAGTTCATGCTGACTTGGGTTCTAACCATAGTCTGGCAGGACTGGAACAGCACAAGGGATATGGGGTTTTCAGCATCTGAGATTGTAGTAGGGCCTAGTGAGTTCTTTTCTCATGCCTGGTCACACTGGATTCTTCAGGCAGTGATTGAGTTAGCCTGGTTAGGGTCACTGTGTTTGGCTGGCCTAGTTCATGTGCCTCCCTGGACTGGGGTTCATGGGAGAATTCCCACTCAAGCTAAATAGGTGAGTATGTGGGGGTCAAGATTGATGACACCCTGGAGAAAAACTGAATTTCTGGTTCCAAAGAAGGGAGAGGTGTGCTAGACAAACAAATTATGGTGAAAGTTCACCTGTTTTTTTTCCTATTAAAACATGTATTTGAAGTATGGGAATAGAACCATGTCACCCTTGGTAGCACCTCTTGGTCCAGAATAACCCTGACAATCAAGGGAGGGAGGGTAGAGGCGCTCACCTGGAATCTGCCTTCTCAGTCGCTGTCGTTTCTAAGACCTTGTCTTCAGCCCTTCACTGTCCTTTGCTTATCAGCACTCTCATGTTATGTTTTCCTTCTCTGCCCCCGTCTGTCTCTGAAGTCACGCCAGCGCCTGCTTCACAGTGAACTGTCATTGCCTCATCTTTCCCACTCCTTGGTGATTTACCCTGCTGGATGTTTGCTCTGCCTCAGAGTAGCTCTGCTTCTTCGCAAATGGGGGAGTTGTCTTGCTCCATCCTCTGTCAGTGTGTTCCTTTTCTTGCAGAGCACCTGTGTGCTAGAGGCTGATTATAGTTCCCAGGCCATTCCATAGATATTTCCTGACACCTCACCAGCCCAGAAGCTTGTCTCTCCCTCTGTTGTACTTTATCTCTATCTTCTTACTTATTTTTACAGTGTTGTTATGATGCAGAACCTTACTTGTGCCAGGCAAGTGCTGTACCAGTTGAACGATAGCCCCAGCCAGACTTGAAATAATTTTTCTTAAGTATGCTTCTCCCTGTCTAATCTTCTGTACGTTTTTGATGCCTGGAGCCCAGTATGTGCTTAGTTTGCTTAAGTGAATGAATGAATGAAGAATATATTTCATTTATTTATTTTTGTGACAGGGTTTTACTGTCTAGCTCAGGTTGTTTTTAAAAACAAAGAAACAACAACAACAAAAAGAAACAAAACCGCCTATATGTGTCTATACAGATGTATACTGGCGCCCATGGAGGCTAGAAAGGGGTGTATCAGAGTTACATGGGGTCTGAGCTGTCCAGTGTAGGAGCTGAGCTCCTCTGAATGCGCTGCAAGTGCTCCTGGCAGCTAAACCATCCCTCCAGTCCATCCCCCTCAAGCTGGTTTTGAATTCAGGATTCTCTGACTCAGCCTCCTTAGGGCCACAGTTACAGGTATGGGTTGTGATGCCTTTTTACTTTTAAAAGCCAGTTATATGATACACCTAGTGTGGTTTACATTTGATTTTACCTGAATGCACACTTCCTCAGGAGGTGGCATCTTGAAATAGAGGTGGTTGACCTTATCTAGTTGGCCAAATTATCTAAAACAAACGTATATTTGTTTTACAATGAAGAAAAAGTAATTTTAGAGGAAAGTTTAAAGCAAACAAAAGCAGCAAGCTCTGAGGTGCTTGCTATTACTCCCATTGACATATACCTGTGGTACTCTGTTGTCTCAGTGTAGCTTCCAGCCGCTTCTGCTTTTGTGTTGTGCAAGAAGAATATGAAGAGCTAAATGGGAAAGGTTATAGCCTACTTTGCTCTGACCACCCACACACCAGGGATAGGAAAACAAAACAAAACAAAACACAAAACAACAACAACAAAATGCAAACAGTCAACCCCTCCAGGCTCCTTAATTTCCTAAGACCCACTCTAAAAATCAGTTATCATTATCTAATCATGTTACATATAGCTATCTGCTAATAATCCTTAGAGCTTCTGGAAAACTTGGGTTTACAGGCTATGCTGTGGTACATACTTACAGACCCAGCTATTTCAGTGGTTGATCTGGGAGGATAGAATGAGCCCAGGAGTTCAGAGCCGACCTTCATCCACCAAAACAGAATAAAACCAGAAGCAAAACGACAAAGATGAACAGTTGAAGGAAACTGACTCTCTTAAGAGATAAACTAAAAGTTCTTACAATGAACAGTACTTACAATGTACAGTCAGCATATATTAACTAATAGATTCATGGGTCTACTCTTTTATTCCTGTATGTGTACCCATGGTGACCCTTCTCTGTCGAGGCTGCTCCTCTTCTCTCCCAGCATCCTTCCCAGTCTCCTTCATGTGTCTTTAACTTCTTTCTGTCCCTGCTCTGTGCTCCCTTTTTCCATCTGTAGAGATGTATGTTCTTTTCTACAGGATGCACTGAAATCATGTGTTGTCTTACTGTATCTGGCTTGTTTCATTCAAGGTAATATTCTTCAGTTTCATCTGTGTTGCTGCATATGACAGGATTTCCTCTTTTTATGCTTTAACATAACATCCAGAGAAATCTTCATTTCTCCCCATTTATTTATTTTGCCTGTGTGTGCACATTTGTGGTGCTGCTATGCACATGTGGAGGTCAGAAGACAATTTCTGGGATTTCGATCTCTCCTTCCACCGTGCGGGTCATCAGGATTGGTGGCAAATGCCTTTACCCACTAGGCCAACTCAACTCTCTACCCACCCCTCCTAGCTTTCTTTTAATTAGCTCCATCTGCTTTCTTGCTACAAGTCCCTTGATAGCTTATTCCGGGTAGAAATCTAGAAGTCTGGCTCTGGACTTTGACTCCTACAGCACCGTGTTCCCCAGCTCCTCACTGTTTTTCTCACTTGGGTTCTTGCTTCCCCAGCGCCTCACCCCACATCCTCTTCCTGCAGCGGCATTTCTACTCTACTGCATTGAGCCAAGCATACTCCTACCCCAAGACTTTTGTACCGTGACCCCTTCACCTGTTGCTCTCCCACTTGGTTCTCTGCAGGGCAGGCATTCTCCCTCCTTCATTCTTCTCGTGTCACCTAGCTAGAGAGATGTGAGATAGCCACACTTCCTGGAGCAACCCAGTCTTAGGCTCTCAACTTCAGTCTCTTCTAAAGCACTCATTGACACCATAATGCACTATATTTTATTCATTTATATCTGGCTCTCCTACCCAGAATACTACCTCGAAGAGAATGGGGGAATGTTTTGTTCTTTTGCATTCCTGGAACTTAGTGCTTTATAGACGGTATGTGCATGATGCTTCTTTGAGTCCCCAAGTGAGGAATTTTTTTCCAGGTTTCCCTCCCAACTGTCCTCTTGTCCCCGCAGTGTACTTGTATCTCTGCAGTGGTAACATCTTACTCAATTACTTTCCATTCTGTCTATTCAGTTAAAATACTAGATGTTATCTGTAGGATCCAGCTTGCTTTTATCAGCATATTTATGGACTGTATGCAGTGTCTGGTGCATAACCAGTGCTGGTAGGATGTTAAATAAACACATAAAATAGCATGGGTGCTGAGTGAACGAATTCATGAACCAATACTTTGTGTCACTAGCAGAGCACTGGGCTTCACTAACCTGGCTGTGACAGCTATAGCAGAGCCTACATAGGTCTTCAGAACTGTGCTTTCTCTGGTTTCATCTTGGCATCATGCAGCTGGAGCCTAGGCCAAGTGAGTATGTAGCCTTTTAATGTTGGGATGGTTGCCAAGTTGGAAGTATTTTCAATAAAAACTATGTAGAAATATTATGAAGGACAGTGTGCAGGATGCTGCAGAGTGCAAAGCATGACGTGTTCCCAGCAAAGCATTGACAGCAGGTTATAGATGGATCGTCTTTGGACCCGGCCACTAACACTGTCAGGTGGAGGCATTTCCCAGGCTACTTACAGGTAGTAAATTCTGTTCTCTCAATTGAAGATAGGGTTGTATTTGGCCTCACTGGAACTCTCCTCCTGTAAACAAGTGGCTTACTCACCCAGTACCATGTCTGTCTTCTCTGAATGATGAAGTTCTTTCAGACCATCCCTGGGTAGGAGAGGAAAGACAGAATTAGTGCATTAAGATGGGCAAAAGACAGAGTCTTCTCTTTGGAGAGCCAGAATTGCAGCTCTTCCAAGCTGTTGAGTAGGGCCTGCATATTGGCCCATTGTGGCTAAGATACTGTTCCAAATACTAAACTAAACATCATCTTTTATGCCCTAGAAGTGTTCCTAGATCTCAGGAAATATAGTGTGCAACAAAACCAATGATACTATAATTTTGCGAATGTGTACTCCCTAGAAAAACTTTAACAGGATTAATCAAAAAAAATTACACTAACATATTTGAAAGTCTGCCAACAGCTGTTCCAAATTACTGTGTGCTATCTGATGTTGCTCATGTACCTGTCTAAATGGAACGTGAACTTGCTTGCCTGACAGGATGAACTCCGATTATTTAATGTTCATCTCTTCTCCAAAGTTACTTGCTGTTCTCTCTAAAGACAATTCTTAACTAATGTTCCATAGCTGTTCTGTGTATCAGGTCCTCATTTAACCACTGTATAAATGGTAGACAAGGATATGCCAGGTACGCATTTTCTCCCGTTCATATTTTTTGAGACTGTGGCAGAATGAGCCCACTGTCATTAATTGTTCTCGTCATGGTGAAGTAATCTTTGGCATAACAGGAACATCACATTTACATGCAGGCAGACATTCTGAAGATGGTTGATGATTCTGAAGCATTTTATCATATCATCAAGAATAATTTTCTGGCAAATGTACAAATTGTCATAAAAAGTAGATTAAAATAGTCTTTTCCTTGACTTTTTTCTTACATGTAGTTTACTTTTACATGTAAAAGTAGTTTACATGTATTTTAGAAAATCATGTAAATGTCACAAAAAGAAAATTAAAACCTACAAAGTACATACCCAGAGGGTAGCACTTTCAACTTTTGACTACATTTTTCTCTAGTCTGTTTTTATACTTATGTCTTTTTAAAAAATAATTTAAAAATAGTAGGCTCTTGTTATCTTTATCTTGTTTTATTTTTAAGAACATATTATATAATTTTCTTCCTGGTGTACCACCTATCTTTGCTCTCTTTTTAATTCATGGCCTCTTTTTCTTTAATTGTTATTACATATGTGTTTATATGTGTGTATTATACATATATATCTAAATTCATAATGGCCTCATACTAAAAATATTAATTCTATTTTTATTATATATATTACAAGCAGTTTTCAATTATAGCTTGATTATTAATTGTATACCTCATTTTATACATTTTAAAAACATACATTCAAATCCACTAATTCTTTTTTTTTAAAAGTCTTTGATACATTCTATTTATAATATGGATACCACAAAATATATCTTGTGCATGATCTGTTGTTATTGTATAAACATAATGATAGTTGCAGAACCTTTCCAGTCCTCTCTAAAGGTTTTTTTTTTTCCTCCATGCCCTTTCCATTCAGCCCTTTCCCCACCTGCAGCAAGATATACTAATTTCCTTTCTGTAATACTTTATTATTATTATTTCTCCATTGTTCTTTGCCCTCCTTTCTCTTTTTCTTGTTTTGAGAGAAGATAGGGTTCCAGAATGTTCTCTGTATTGTATTGCTGTCTTCCTGGTTATGTAGATAAAAAGTGTGATATTGCTGTCTCCCTTTGCAATTGGGATAAATGAACTAGAGCAATTGTGAGTGCTGAATGGATGTCTTGACAGTCTCGATGACAGTCCACAGCACTGTGCCACATGCCTCTGGTCTTGTCATGTTAGAGTCATGGTCATCCCGCTCACTGAGGCATCTGACAGGCAGGAGTACTTATTTATTTCCTTACATTCAGACTCCATGAATCCGTTTTGCTTTTGTATACTTCCTGTAGAATCTTGCAGGACTGCCTTCTCCCCATGCTGTGTGTAAATGAGCCAGAATGGTCTCCGTTATGCTTTTATAACAAACAGCCCATTGCCTGAAGACCCAAGTTTGGATCCCTCAGTACCCGTGTGGACAGCCTTGAGCCATAGTACACATCTGATGTCCCATTGCTGGGGAGGTGGAGACAGGCTGATCCCTGGAGTTTAGCCTAGCCAATCAGTGAGAGGCCTGTCACTCTGGAGGTCTGGAGGATACCAGACCTTCAGCTCTGGCTCCTGCACACATGTGTACACCGGTGCATAGGTACCTGTCTGTACAGATACATACCCCACAGGAATGAGCATGTGACCTCCCCATGCAGGAAGTCCTGAAGCACAGTGGTCTGAGGGCAGGCTAGTGAGTTGATATCCCTTAGGCTTTTCCTTGAGAACTCAGCCTAAAACTAAGAGGGAACAAGTCAGATTAAACTTTACAGGGGCAAGTATAAATCCTGTGCGAAGGAGCCAGAGTGGTGTCTGGAAAGCCTGCACTGGCCTGGGCCGTGTCATTTTGTTTCTGATTAGCGGGTGGGATATGTCTGATTACCTTCTTCCCATGACACTGTACAGTTGCCTTCGTAGAATCAAATTGTCATGGCCTGTGTGCTCATAGAACTTACTTCCAGAGAGGTGAGTTTTCTTTAGGTGAGCGTGTTGAGCCAGAAGCCAGTTTGCCAGTAATTGGAAGGGGTTCAGTCAGACAGTTAAGATTACCCCCACCGGAGCCCGACAGACACTGCAGCCCAGAGGCTTAACCCCTGGGCTGACATTTCCCACTGTGACTTGGGACAAGTTTTCACAGTGCCTGGGTGCTTCGGTGTTCTGTCTGTAAACTGGAACTGATGGTGTGTGTCAGGCTGTGAGAAATTAGCTAGTCTGAGTGAGTTGGAACCCCTGGCATGGAGTAAACACTTGACAGCAGACAATAATCAGTTTGTGAATAAAACCGTGTTTTCTGCAAAGCCAAAGGCTGCGAGGGAGGTTGAAGAAGTGGGCACTGGCAGCCTGGGAGAGCAAAGGCCAGTTGCTCTCGTTTTTGATTGTGTTGAAGATTGTTACTAGTTCGAGCTTCACCCTAACAGTGCTCACTGGAGACTCTCCCATTGTTTGTTCTGTGTAAGGTTTTTCCTGCTGGGAAAAGGTACGAGGCAGTTAAGTTTCTCCCTGCACCCCCAGAAAGAAAACACACTTTTGGAAATAATAAGATGATAGCCATCCAAAACCATTTCCCTGCTTTGTTTTGTTTCAGTGGCAGCTGAAATATCCCAAACTGGTTCTCCGAGAGGCTGGCAGTATATCCGAGGAGCTGCATAAAGAGGTCCCCGAGGCCTTTCTCACACTGCATAAGCATGGCTGCTTGTTTCGGGACGTGGTTAGGATCCAAGGCAAAGATGTGCTTACCCCAGTGTCTCGCATCCTCATCGGGGACCCAGGCTGCACTTACAAGTACCTGAACACTCGACTCTTCACAGTGCCCTGGCCAGTGAAGGGCTGCACCATCAATTACACAGAGGCTGAGATTGCTGCTGCATGTCAGACCTTCCTCAAGCTCAATGACTACCTGCAGGCTGAGACCATCCAGGCCTTGGAAGAACTGGCTGTCAAAGAGAAGGCTAATGAAGATGCTGTGCCATTGTGCATGGCAGAGTTCCCCAGGGTCGGCATGGGGTCCTCCTGTGATGAAGAAGTGGACATTAAGAGCAGAGCAGCTTACAACGTGACTTTGCTAAACTTCATGGATCCTCAGAAAATGCCGTACCTGAAAGAGGAGCCTTATTTCGGCATGGGGAAATTGGCGGTGAGCTGGCATCATGACGAGAACCTGGTGGATAGGTCAGCTGTGGCGGTATACAGCTACAGCTGTGAAGGTACAGTCTGCCCTGGGGGAAGGCAAGCCTGAAGGCAGTGTGACCAGAGTCATTGGGCTCTGAGGATATATACACATACATACGTACATAGATGTCTGCGTGTTGGGTGTCCTGTCCTTCTCTGACTGTGTTTCTGCAGAGCATTCTTGTCCCTATGTAAATGCTCCCTGGCTCAGTCTTCTGCCGTGCACAGAGTATCTCTGCACTTAAGTGCTACTGTCATTTCATGTTCCTGTCACCCCAGGAGAGCAGCGCTTGCATCCATACAGCCGGTTGCCGCTCTCTAGAGCTTGGAGTTGACCGTTCAGTCACCACAGTTAGCTTGCTGAGAAAGAGCCAGGAAAACAGCAATCTGTCAAGTCTGCCCTGTTCTCACAGGTGCGCATTCTCCCCTTGCCAAAACGCTTTATTGTGCCTGACATCACCACCTTGATGGTCGGGATCTGTCAGGTATGGGCTTGTTCTTGGCTTCCCATCATTCTTATAAGACCCTCCTTGGCAGAAGCAGCTAAGTGGCCTGTGTAGGCAGACATTCCAGTTTCCTTGCCTTTTCTAAGGTTCCGACGTCTTATTACAGAGAGCTATGCATTGCCAACTTGGTTGGCCTATCCATCTTTTCCTGCTCTTCTGTTTGTATATGTCTAGGGTCCCCAAGAGTTTGTAACTGGATTATAAAGAGGTACTTGTGTGTGGAGCACAGCAGCAGCACTGACTTTTTATCACCCGATTATTAGACAAAGGAATGAAATATTAGAACTTCCTTTGCAAAATGAGATTACTAAGTCCTTGGAGAGAATGAAGAAGAACTTTTAAGGTCACTGCTCTTTTGACAGTTCTAGTTGCTTTATTAGATATCTGTTGTTGTTACTTGTTTTATTTGTTTGCTTGCTTAAATGACTATTTTAGGGAAATGATTTAAGAGCAGAAAAAAAAATCTATCTCATGGCTCTTAAATTTCTTAATTTTTTCCAGTCTCAAAAGTTTCTTTAGGATAATTAATGTATTTTCTAAATTTACTTTGGGCTTTTAGTCCAAAACAAGGAACAAGTTGAATGGTTGCAAGTTTCACCAGTTCCCCTGACATCTTGAATAGTGATGGCAACCTGAAAATCCCCCGAGGTGCTTCAGTGCTGTTGAGAGGGAAGAGCCCCCGTCCTCTGACCTCAGCTGTAGCTGCTGGAACAGTGTGGTTGCTTAGCTCTCTCTGAGGTGGCAGCTCTCAGAACCTGCTGCACGTGATGGCACAGGCAGCCACAGAGCTGCCCTTGTGCTCCATGCTGCTGCCCAGTTCCCAGGATGTTGTTAATCACTCTGATGTACTTCCCTGTCACAGGTGATCAAGAAAAGAATAAAATTTCAACAACTAGTATCTATGATTGGAAGTGGTTCAGAATGGCAAATAGTAAAAGTGCAAATTGCATACACAGAATTGTTGGGCTTGTGGAATGGCTCAGGAGGCAAAGGCACCTGTTGCTAAGCCTGACTATGAGAGTTTGGTCCCTGGGATCCACGTGGTGAAAGGGAGAACTGACTCCTGCAAAATGCATTCTGACCTCCATATATAGGCCGAGGTACACACACATACAAACACACTCAGAGAGAGAGTGAGAGAGAGAGAGAGAAAATAATAAACTCATAATAAAACACTTTTAAAGAAATGTTTTTACATGCAATTACTAGCTGGAAGAGAGGCTTGCAGAATTCCAGTCTGTAAGAGCAGAGCTGTGCGATTCCTTTGTTCTCTTAATCTCCAAGATGCGCAGACTCTATCAAATAATAGTGACAGCTCTTGGGGGTACTTCCCCGAGCACCTGCTGTGGCCAGACTCTCTAAGTGCTTCACATGTGTAGCCAGTCTCCCCTTATTCACAACACCCAGAGAATAATGGAGACACCATGCCGCATGAAAGGCTGTTTTGATCAGAGACCACGTATATGACGTTAGCTCTATAAACCTGTAATGGATCTGAAATGTTTCTGTTCTCTCGTGACTTGAAGCAGCACAGCACAGAGAGTTGCTAACTAATGCACGTGAACAAGCCTGTGATGCCGCAGCCGTGCAGGGAGAGCATTATCCAGTCATGTTTGTGTTCCTGGGTAATGACCATCAATGACTGCGAGGTTCACAGTTTACTAGGTTATCTCTTCTTAAATTGTTGTTTTAGTGTGTATTTCTCTCATATACTAAGAAGAAGGTTACTGCAAAATTCTATGTTGAGGTAAATGTGCAGTAACTTGATTCACCTCGTATTTACAGTTTCTTGAGTGCATCAAGAGGCCGTATGAAGAGATTGGCTTGCATCATGTAGGCTTGGCTGATTTCACTCAGTGTTGTTAGTATAGGGATAAAATTCCCAATGTCATAATTCTCAGAGTACATCTGCATGGTTAAGGGATGTGTGACTCTCCTTGTACTGTTCTTCTTTATTGGTTGAGGAAACTGAGGTACCTGTTGGCAGTCATGGAGCTACTTGAGCCAGGGTTAGGATTCAAACCTGAGACCTCTGGCCTTACAGGATTGATTCCTAAGCTGTGCGTCTTATGGGCCTGCATTTATTTCCTATCTGAGCAGTGAATGTGGTTTTTGAAAATGTTGAAATGTGAAATGGAGCCCTCCTCTACCTTCTCTGTGTCTGTGTGGTTTAGAGTCAGGTGGTATGCAAACCAAGTACCTAAAAAGTCACGGTGCCTGTATTTCTTCCAAGTGATGAATGATATATGTAGTTTTCTGACCTCTACATCTTCGCCAGAACTGTGGTAAGGGTGGACTTCAAGAGAGCTTTTGGGTTCAAGTCCTGTTTAGGGTTTAGTAGAGCTAAAGCGGTTACAGCACGTGGAAACATCGAAGACTGGACTGTTTCCCATGCTCTTCAAAGTATTCATTGCTAAAGATGTCAGGTGCTTTGGACAGTATGAGAACCCACAGACAGGTCACATCTCTCCCTGTCTCCAAAGACTGGCTAAGGTCAGCTGTGCTCTTGAGATTGCAGTTGTGGAGTGGTGCCACTTTGGATCTGGAAGAGACTCTCAGAATCACTTGTTTCTATCCTCCAAAAGGAGGCTGGGCAGCTCTATCAGGGCCACGGTACTTAGTGAGGGGTGCCAGCCACAGTGTGGCTTACCCAGGAAATACTTCTCCAGGTGCACTGGGAGTTCAGATCAGAAGTAATTATTTCTTGCTGAACTTAGATGAGCTGCAGCTTAAGTTCTTTGTGGCCTGGCTCTCACTACCTTTCCCAGGGAATCTTGTGTAGATTTATAATGAACTGATCATTGCTCTTTGGTTTATTTTCATGAGTAGAAGCCATTGAGAAGTAATTTGTATAGGATACGTGTAATTATATTCTAAATTCATTGGGCTTCACATGCATTTCTAGCTAATAGATATCTCTAAAAGGAAGATTGAAATGGTACAATTTTTAATCAGGAATGGCTTCAGGGAACCATATGTAAATAGGCAGAGTATTTGATTTTCATATATGCCAGGCTTGGTGGCAATTGCTTGTTACTCCTAGTTATAAAAAAATGAATTTTAGCAGGGGATGCATTAAAACTTACAGGTAATATTGTCCAACACCTTGTTCTTTGATTGGAACCTCTTCGAGGGTACCTCTCAGACCGTAACTATTGGCTACCATTTTGTACGGGAGCACACACACGCGCGCATGTGTGCGGTGTGTGCGTGTGAGGGTATGGGGTATTGCTTGTGCATATGGAGAGTAGAAGAAGGTACTGGGCACTCCTCTACCCTCTCCCTCTTATTGCCTTGAGACAAGTTCTGTCAGTGAGCTGGAGGCTCATTGCCTCCAATGCTGGGCTTACATGGTTGCTCGCACACTGGGCTTTGAACTCAGCTCCTAATGATTCTAGACCAAGCATTATTTCCCCCTCAACCATCTTCCCATCCCTTTATTACCAATTTTTTTTTTTTTTTTTCTGGGAGGAGCAACTTCCTGTCGGATTGTCTTTATAGGAAAGTGAACTGTAAACTTTTAACTAGTGCTCAGTGTTACGGATTCTCTTCTTTAGTTTCTGGGTCTCTCCTGAAGGACCAAGTTGGTGAATCCATGCATTCTCCTGCAATGTGTGATAGCCTAGAAAGTAAAGGTTCTGCAATAACTTTCTCATGACTTCCCGGCTCCTTTTGGGGCTCTGCTTTGGGAAAGGGTGCATCATTTTGAGGGTGGAATTTGTCCAGCTGATTCTTGAATCTTTACTGTGAAGCGAGTAGCCCTATACGCCTTCATTTATCATTAACATGGTGAAAAACTAGTTTGTAATTGCAGGTAGAGGTTGTGAGCTGTAGTAAGTTTTTAAAATGTTGTTTATTTGTTGATCGTGCCTCCTAGTCTCTATAAGTTTTCGGAACTGATTTGACGTATGTTTGCTTGTTTGTATTTTGACATGTGTTCATTCATTTGGTTCTGTAAATGCTGGTACTCCTCCTACTTTTACTGTCTAGGAAAATTGTCATGTGGTAGAACACACTTAATGTTTTCTGAGCAGTTGTCTAGTAGTTGTATAAGAAAGCTAGTTAGCTAAGCTTAAATCAGAAAGTGAGCCAGTGGCCCAGCAGCATTTCTCCACAACATTTCCTTTTCTTCCTACTTGAGTTCCTGCCCCCACTTCCTCAGTGGTGGACTTTGACCTGGAAGTGTAAGTGGAAATAATTCCTTTCTCCCTGAGTTGCTCCTTCTCATAGTATGTGTCACAACAACCAAAAGCAAACTAGAACACTCGCATTTTGCTTATTCATTCCCTTACTGATAATTATTTAGGTTGTTTCCATCTTTGTTTTGTGAATCCTAGTGGGACTTTTTTGACCTCATAGTGGTTGACTAAGACATGGAGATTTACTATTATTTATAAAAGTATAGGCACTATAGCTGGGCAGAATCTCAGCTATTCTTACCTGACAAACCCCAGCCTACATCCCACTTCTTGGCCTATTACCTTTCTCTCAATTGGCACCTGTTCCTCTCCACGTCATACCAGCAAATCCCTGAAACTCTCTCAGCCCAGATGTCCTGCCCTTTCTCTCCTGCCTAGTTTAAGAGCGCTTACAAAATACCGAGGCAGGTGTTGAGTCATGACAATAACAATACCAAAGTCTGGACAGTACTCAGCTAGCTTTTGGTACAGAATTAACAATCAAATGATACAGAGATAGCCTTTATACAGTGCACAAAAAATATTACCCCAACAGTGACTAATACTCTGAATTTTTTTAAATTCTATTAATTACACTTTATTCACTTTGTATTCCCCCTGTGGTTCCTCCCTCCTCCCATCCCAATCCCTCCCTTCCTCCACCCTCTGCATGTCTGCCCCTCCCCAAGTCCACTGATAGGGGAGGCCTTCTTTTCCTTCCTTCTGATCCTAGTCAATTAGGTCTCATCAGGAGTGGCTGCATTGTCTTCTTCTGTGGCCTGGTAATGCTGCTTCCCCCTCAGGGGGAGATAATTAAAGAGCAGGCCAATTAGTTCATGTCAGAGACAGTCCCTATTCCTATTACAATGGAACTCACTTGGATACTGAACTGCCATGGGCTACATCTGTGCAGGGGTCTTAGGTTATCTCCATGCATGGTCCTTGGTTGGAGTATCAGTCTCAGGAAAGACCCCTGTGCTCAGATTTTTTGGTTCTGTTACTCTCCTTGTGGAGTTCCTGTCCTCTCCAGATCTTATTGTTTCCCACTTCTTTCCTAAGATTCCCTGCACTCTGCCCAAAGGTTGCCCATAAGTCTCAGCATCTACATTGATAGTCTGCAGGGCAGAGCTTTTCAGAGGTCCTCTTTGTCAGGCTCCTGACTTGTTCCCTCTTTTCTCCTTCTTTTGATGTCCATCCTCTTTGCCTTTCTGGATAGGGATTGAACATTTTAGCAAGAGTCCTCCCTCTTGATTAGTTTCTTTAGGTGTACAGATTTTAGTAAGTTTATCCTATATTGTATGTCTATATGAGTGAGTATATACCGTGTGCATCTTTCTGCTTCTGGGATAGTTCACTCAGGATGATCTTTTCCAGATCCCACCATTTACCTGCAAATTTCATGATTTCCTTGTTTTTTATTGCTGAGTAATATTCCATTGTGTAGATGTACCACAATTTCTGTATCCATTCTTCCACTGAGGGGCATCTGGGCTGTTTCCAGCTTCTATTACAAATAGGGCTGCTACAAACATGGTTGAGCAAATGTCCTTATTGTGAACTTGAGCCTCTTTTGAGTATGTGCCTAGGAGTGGTATGGCTGGATCTTGAAGAAGAAGAACAAAGATGGAAAGGCTGTAGAGTCAGCTAATGTGACAATGTCTGATCTTCAGATTCACATTTAGAGAACTGAGGAACATTAGATGTGGCCTTAAAGGCCATTTGCTAGCATTCTTCTTTGTAGAGACTAAGAACTTAGATTTGGGACTATTCTCCTTATACTTAGTACAAAGTAGTGTGACTTGATAGCCATAGAGGAAGTGCCTTTTGCTCTAACCCTCTCTACTTCATTCTCTTTCCCCTCCTTCTCTGCTTTGAATTCTTACATATGGCTGCTGCAGAGGAAGAGGTTTCGAATGTTGGGACTGTGTATGGGCATGGCCAGTCTGGGATCTGGACACTTTGCTGTTGTTGAGTGATGTATGCATGATGGAACTAGGAAGGTGTGCTTAGCTGTCCATCTTTATGGAATCCAACTTTGCATCTTTTTGTCTTCAGTGAGTTCTCCAGTGCCACTACTACTTTCAAGTCCAGACACTACTACTTTCAAATCCTGTTTTCTCTAGGCGGTCTGCTTTGATTCTTACAGTTCTTGTTGCAGCTCCTTTAACCCTCTTTAGTGCCGTTCTACTGGAGCAGCAGTGTTCTACTCATAGGGAGAGAAGAGGGAGGGAGGGTGGGATTGGGAGGAGATGAAGGAGGGGACCACAGCTAGGATACAAATTGAATAAATTGTAATAAAAGATAATAATTTTTAAAACTTTTAAAAAGAACAAACAAACAAATGAACAGATGTTTGAGGGTTTTTTTTTTTTTTTTCTTTTAAGCTAACATTTTATTTCCCACTACCTAACACAGAGTTGTGGGAACTGAAAGCCTCTCAGTGCAAGTGCCCATCGATGTCTCCTGGTCACCAGAGTTCTGAAAACAAATGCAGACATAGCCCAGAATATAGCCCAGTGGGTTAAAAGTATGATGACATCTAAATTTGAAATGCTGTCTGAGCAGTTACCAGCGCTGGTCACTAACGGCCCCAGTAGAGAAGGAAAGCTCCGCCCAGGCTGGGTTCATGATTTTAGTCAGAGATACCCCATATGCCTGGCACAATTCTAAGCATACAGAAAGTGTTTAATAAATATTTCCTGAATGAGCTTTAAAAGTTTTATGTAGGGCCACAGAGCGTATGGCTGCCCCAGGTTGCCACAGTCTTACCAACACTGCTTCTTTGAAAATGAAGACATAAACCTTCTGATTTGACCAGTGGGAAAATAGTTCTCAGTTTAATTTGCATTCTTTTATGTGAATAGGTTGAAAATCTTTTCACTGTTGTCACTCTGAACTTTCTTTGTGTATATCTGGGGATCACTTTCATCCCCTGGCTTGTTTCCTTTTTAATGTTCTGCCTTCATAACATTTGCTCATTGATCTAACTGCCTCTTTTCCTCCCTCCCTCCTAATATGATGAATTTTAAGTCTTAAGCTTTTGGGCATTAGTTTAGCTACTTGTAGAGTAACCCATATATTCCTAAAGTAAATTTTTCCAGGTCATAGAATGTTCTTTTACTATGATGCTGGACCTAGAGTCTCTGTCCTTATTTGTGAGGAATTTAACATTGATTTTTAGATGTGCGATTGGTTAAAAGTGTGTTTCCTTTTTGTGTTTTTGTATGTATCTGAATAGAAGGAGTCTGGGAATGTCTTTTGCATGTTCTTAAGCAGAATCGAGTGCCCACTAAAATGATCTGTTTTTTAAATATATGCAGAAGGGAGTGTTTTGGAATTCTTTGACTCTGTGTTCCTTTGAGAGAGGATGTTTTCATAGGTTCCTCTTCACCTTCTATGGTTTCTTTAGCTTTCACTTCTCTCTATTATTATGGCAATTAATATCTTTTTTTATTTCAAAAAACTAGAAAATTGAGCTTTTCTAGTTAATTTGCTTGGTAAGGGCACAATAATCTTTTATTCTCTGAATCTCTGTTTTTTGTTTTGTGTTGTTTTGTTTTTGATATTTAAGTTTTTGTGGGAAAGATAAATTTGTGCTAAAAATGTTATTCAGTGTCTTTTTTAAAAATTATGACCCAAAAGGATATAATTTACCTAACATCCATATTTTATTAAGATGCCAGTAATTTCTCAGGTAGTAGCTGAAATCTCAGGAATGCAGATGAAGTGTGTCTTTGCTGATCACTTCTCCTCTCTCAACAGGCTCCGATGACGAAAGCGAGGATGAGTCTAGCTTCGAGGGCAGAGATCCCGATACTTGGCATGTTGGTTTCAAGATCTCATGGGACATTGAGACGCCAGGCTTGGCAATACCTCTTCACCAGGGCGACTGCTATTTCATGCTGGGTAATGTTCGCAGACTCGATGTGGGTGTTGTACTTAGGTTGTCTGAGCTTAGGTTGTAGGGGCATGTGTGAGATAAACTTTTTGAATACTTTGTATCCATAATGATTTTTTTCCTTCAAAGGCATAACTCATTTTTTTTGTTTGTTTTTACTTATTTATTGTGGGTGTTGTTTACAGGTATGGTTTTGCACTACATATGTGTGGTACCTATGGAGGCCAGAAGAAGGGATTGGATTTCCTGTAACTGGCTTACAGTTGTAAGCCTCCTTGTGGGTGCTGGGAACTGAATTCAGGTCCTCTGCAAGAGTAGCAAGGCAGTTTCTTCTCAGGATCAGCTGGCATAATCACAGTATTTTTCTCTCTACTTGTATTTTAATTCTTTGGAAATTTGTATTTATGGGCTTGAAGTAAATGACACTGTGGGAGTTGGGGTGCTTTGATTTTTGCTGCTTTGTTTTGGAGTTTTGTGTGTAACTTATTCTCAACTTATTTTCCACTGCATAATGTACAAACATATCCTTCTTTTCTCTTTTCCTTATGATGCTTCTAAGGGGCCAGGGTGATGGCTTGCCAGGCAAGCATGAGGACCTGGGCTGGATTCACAGGAAGAACACATGGAAACAAGCCAGATGTGGCGCTGTGCCCTGGTAGTCTCAGTGCCAGAGAGGGGATAGGAGGCTTTCTGGGGCTTGCTGATCAGCCTGTTCAAGCCAGTGAGAGGCTACCTCTCAAAGACAAGGCGGCCTCCAGGTTCCACCTGTACACACTCATGTACTGGATCACACAGGGGCGCCTCCACAAGAACGTGCACACCTATGTACATACAAACACACACGCATGCACTCACACAGCTTCTCACACTTTATTTTCTCCTTTGCTGTGCCTGCTGAGTATCCCAGGTTTGTCTCATTCCTTCCTGCTTACAGATATCCAATCTTCTGTTGGATTTTTAGCTAGGAAGAACCAGGGTTTGATATCAGTTTTTGGTAAGGATTATTTTCCAGTAACATTTGATATCTGTAGAGTTTCTGTATTGCAGCTACCGAGTAAGGTTCTGGGGAGACCCTGGAGGACAGTAAATCTTGCTCCTTCCTCCTAGGACTTCGTAGTATGAAATTGGAACATCATCATTTCCCAGTCTTCCGTTCATTGCTTGTTGGTATCCAGGTTCTTACCATAGTCACTTGCTAACCCTATATTTTCCGTGCCATTTTCTCTAAAACTTACTTTTTTTTCCCCACCACTGAAATAACTTAATTTTGAAGGAGATTTTATATCACTGTTTTACATGGAAAACCAGTACCAACTGGCCCAGCTACAAGTGTTTTATAATACTAAATGTAGAGAAACCAAAAGTGTTAAGAATGCACTACTTTTCTTTGCTTGGAGATCTTAGAGTCTGAGTCTTGTTCTTTGTTTAAACAAGAGGCTAACAGTTTATATGAATACTATGCAAATTATGCTCCTCGTGAATATATGCCAATAAAAATGTGTAGCAACAAGAAGGAAAGAATAAAAGAACCTCATTATTACTCCTAATATCAGACATAGACTTTCATCATTTGATTAGCATAATGGATACTAAAATGAGAACTCCTTGGTGAGATAAGAATAATTCATGTTAGAGAAAGCGAGGGTGGGCAGACAGACAGACAGACAGACACACACACACACGAATAACATTAACATTGAGGGGGTGTTAATTCATCGCAGGCCAGTCCGAGGCTTTTTCCTTGGTGTTTGCAGGTGGATTGGAAGTAGCCATATGACTTAGTGCTGTCTCCTTTTGCAGCTTAAGCCCATTGTCTTGCTTTCCATTTGCATCTTGCTTTTCTGTAGACAAACCTGTTTCGCATAAACAACCTGAGACTCCAAAGAGCCTTCACTGGGAGATGTCAGATGTGCAGAACTGTCAGTCACTCCCTTCCTATTCGGCAGAAGAGAGACCAGAATGCCCTGGCCACAGGCTCCACTTGTAGTGATTTTCCCACTCTAACTGGTCCTGTCAGCTGGCTCTCAGGATGCTGAAGCCTCTGGAATGCTGGCAGGGAAAGGTCATCCCTTCCCTTCAGTCCCTTGTTTGATTTCAAGATCCAAGCCTTTATTCTGAAGTCTCCATCCTTGTCATTGAATGCTATTAGTCTAAAAAGATTATAACTTAAGTTTTTGTGTTCTCCCAAAAGTTAGATATTTGGCTTGAATCCAAATAAAAAGCTTCTCTTGAGGTACTTTGTCAGTAGTCTTTATTAATAATTTGCATACATGGAGGCGATAACAGCCAGAATGGTGCCTTTTCAAACAGCTTCCTGTTTATCTGTATATGAAACCAGTGGATTTGCATTGTAAAAGCTCAGCTATCTTTTGTGCATTTAATAACATCCTCTGTGATTTCTTCTGATTAAAAAGCAAAGTAAGGAGGCAGGAGAGATAACTCAGTGGTAAGGAATGTGTACTCCTTTTGCAGAGAACAGGAGTTCAATTCCTAATGCCCATGTTGGGCTGTTTATGGCCACCTGTAACTTCCACTCCAGGGCATCTAATACCCTCTTCCAGTCTCTGTTGGTACCTGCACTTACATGTATATATCCACACACACACACACACATGCATAATTAAAAATGAAAAAAAGCTTTTATCCTTTGTAAAGTATAAAAGGAAAGACTAGAAAAACAAGTTTCACATGTGATTAATATATTCCTGCCCAGTACATGCATATCTGGAATGGCAGTGATATTAATAGCAAACATATCTATTAGGAATTAGTGACAAGTAAATCATTCTGTTAATTTGCTTGTGACCCTGAGAGGCAAATATTAGCTACTGTAAAAGAAGTCTAGTTAGATTGATAGACTTCTCCATGGTTTTACAGCTAGTAAGAGTCAGGAGTTAGACCCTGACATTTGTGTCTACTCAAGTTTCAGCATTCCCACATTAGGCCTTTCTCTTGCCCCAGGTAGCCCCATGTTTTCTCTTCATCCTACTCTAGCACTGGCCTCTCTGCTTCGGGCTTTCACCCCTTTTCTATCCACTAAGCGTCATGGTTCTGCAAGGAAGAAAAGATGACAATATTCGGGTTTTTTTTGTTTTGTTTTGTTTTCAGTTTTAAAGGTTTTTTTCTTTTTAATTTAGTATCTGAATTGGTAATGAATGTATTTAATTAACTAAATTGTCAAAATATTTAATTGATTACATGTTCAAACATTCACTGAGTCTCTAAGCGCTGATAAACTCAAGAAATTCATGCTGCTTTTAGAAGCTGATATTCAGGTTATAAAAATATATTGCTTTCTACATCCTGCCTTCAGATATAGGCATTATAGTTATAGTTTCCACTCTCCCGTTTAAGACAAGTGTACCCCAAAGTCTGCATTTAGAATGTATTTTTGTGAAGATATCATATTTGATTTTTAAAATGAATTTTGAGTACTCCTGTTATAAACTAAAATAAACTCCTATTTGAAAAACTCATAATTTAAAAACAGATTATAAAAAGCAACTGTTGTGTAGCTCTGCCTCTTTATGTGAGCTTTTAGAACTCTAAACATGAAGCTCTGTGGAGGGCTCTGGGCCCTATGCTGGTAACTGAAGCCTGAACTTCACAGCACTTACAGAAAGGAAACAGTTTAGCTCAATTTATAATAATATATTGGTCTGCAGAGGAAGTACAGCCCAAACCCCACTGTCTCAAGTGAATACTCCAGGGGTGTCTGATGGGGAACGTGTCGGGTGCCTGTAATAAATCTGCTGCCGTGGGCATGAGCGAAAGCCCTGTTGGCAGTGCCTGAGGACACACTTCATGGGGTTGTCATGGTTTTACTTTTAAATTGGAATCTTTGCCCTAATCTCAGAGTTAGACAAGACCAGATTTGCAAACAGATTTACAATTCTCACTAATTTTCCAACCAAGACTTCAAAACACACTTCGAGGAGGGAGGGGAAAAAAAAACAACAACAAAACAAAACATGCCGCCATTCACTCTGCTATTTCCCAGGGTCGAATGATTTACTTGGCCACAGCTGTTTTCCATAGACTGCTTGTAGCCAGGGAGTTAGGGGCTTAGGAGCACTTGGAGACAAACTGGGTTTACTTTTTGTAGAACAGATTATACAGTTCAAGGGACAGCAACTAAATTCTGTTCATTAACCAGGAGCTGGGTGGAGGTGGGATGTTTGGGGACAAAGGTGAGTAAACCCTGGGCAAACCTCTCCTGGTCCTTCTTAATGTGTCATTGTGGTGTCTTAGATGTCACTGTTCATGGCCAGTCTCTCCGGTCCCTCTTATGTCTTAAGTCCAAATGACTCTCACTTTGAAATGTCTATTGTTAGTCTATGACCAGACATCCCAAAGCCATAGTTGTGAAAGTCAAAAAACGAAATCCGTGGCAGAAGCAGGATGAGTCAGTAGCAGTCGAAATGCCTGGCTTTGCTGGGTCTTAATTTTGGCTCACCACTGTTTAGAGGGGAGTGAAGAAAGGCTGTAAGGCTTCCTGCCCGCTGGCTGAGCAGTGTCAGGCTCCCTCCCACAGTGTCAGGACATCCTTGCGTCTTGGCCCTCAGTGTAAAACGAGAGCTTCCCCATGTGCTGGTTCTCATTGTACTTCTTAGGAGTCAGCTCAGGTGTGTGGGCCCATGCTCTGCAGGCCACACTTCCTACAGGGATGTACCACAGAGCTGGATGGCGCCATGGCATGCTGGAGAACAAGGCAGTGAGACAGAGAAAGGAGAGGCCTGGCTGTGGGTGCTTCTCCTGCCTCAGGCCCTGGCTTCTGTGGGCTTTGCAGGTCTATTCCCATAGCCCCTCGGAGTAACTACAAGAGTGGTAAATCTCACCAATTGGCTCTGCGTGGTAACACGAGGTAGCATCTGGCCATTGCTGCGTGGAGCTCTGCTCACCGCTGTTACTTTGTTTGAGGCTGCCTTTACTTATGGAGCCTGGTCATTTTTTTTAGATTTATTTCCCCATCTATGAAATACTTGTGGCTTAGCGGCAGCAAGGCCTG